CGATGCGACGACGAAACACGAGCACGTTGATGAGGACGACTACCTTATCCATCTAGAAGAAATCTTAAGACGAATCCATGATAAGTTTTACGACACAGTTGACCAAATCAAAGAGCTCAAAGCCAAAGGAATTAAAGAGGCGGATTCCAGCATTGCACGATAYTGCAGTCCAGGTACACTATCACCRTGCACTAAGCAGATCATCAAAGAGCTACAGTATGAAGTCCTCAAAGGAGCAAATATCGTCTTCACAGGCGTTATTCCCACAAATATCCCACCTGAGAAAAGCGACATTTGGCAGCGTTCAGAACGACTTGGCGCCAAGGTATCTCGACATCTGGTCACTCCTAAAGATGCACGTGACCCATCTGACGTCACAACMCACGTGATTGCAGCGCGYCTCGGAACCGAGAAAACCTAYCACGCCATCAAGACACCGGGCATTAAGATAGTCAAGCCAGACTGGCTGTGGTGTTGCGAGGAGAGATGGGAATGGGTGGATGAGAGRCTTTTTGCTGTGGAAGGAATCGAGAAGTACAAAAGAGAAACACGAAGCCAACGCACTCCCCAGGGGACCCCTCACCATTGGAAAAAAGTTTCCAAAACCGAAAGTAATCYCGARAAAATWGGAAGTGACGAGGATGTGATAACTAASGACGAAACGATGCGGGAAAGRACGTGTTCCTCTAGTAGTGCTGATCTTCTCATGGCGTCCTTACATCCTCTTCTGTCCTTTTCGTCTACTGAAATGGAAGCCATGGACAAAGAAGTGGAGGAGCTCATGAATTCCGATGCGGACGATGAGGCTGAGAGTGACGTCATCGGCAGTATCTCGGGATCGAGTAGCTCGTCAAGCGTTTCGTCGAGCTCTTCAAGCAGTTCGAGTTCGTCTCCCAGTTCAGATAACGAGAACGACAATTCGTCGGATGTGACGAAAAAACGAAAAATCAGCGGAAGTGACAGCGAAGACAATACGAGTAAGAAACTTAAAGAGGGACATTCACAGTCTGATGATGAATCAGATGATTATACACGGCGTTCAAGTCCGAGTGATGATGATGATGATGGTGATGATGATGACATGGCAGCTCTTCTKGAAGCGGAACTATCGCATGACTGAAAGTACATTGCCTGACAAGTGATGGTTTCTTTCTAAAGATATGACGTAAATTTGTATAAAAATACYCCACTGAAGCAAAAACAGTTTCGTTGTAAGGAACGACATGCGAAACTCATTGTATAATGTATCTTCTTACAAGCATAGTTTCGTTATAAGAAACAACAAAKTATTCGAGAAAATAGTCTCTAGAAAGAGAATAGCAATACTGTCTWTAAAAGCAAGGGCATACTTCATTGTCGTTACCTATGTTTTATGCCTTGGTCTCAAAAGATTGATTATACGCATATTGTGAAAGCAACAGCATATAAGAACATATTCAAAGGGAAAGATTTCCGCGGTGTTACCTGAACCCTTAGGTCAGTCTTCAAACCTTAATAAAATTCGACTCAACCTACACCAACATACACAGAAACCGGAATCCAAGGAGACTGCAATGATGTATGCTCTTAATTAGTTTTCGGGSCTAGCCCATGACATGACTATTTTCTGCGTCTTTGTAAATAAAACAACGGTCACATACCTGAGCTCAGGTCAGTTGTATAGCTCCAAAGCACACTAATATTTTTGATGATAAATGTCCATGGTTACAGCATTCGAATCATGCAATCACGTGATGTCAATTGTGAAACTCTTCATAATAAAATCATTTGTATCAATACTAACAGCTTTTTGAAATGATTTGTCATAACTTTGACGGTCAATAGGAAATGTTCTGGACTCAATTTTGAACAAAAAWGCATGATTGGAGTTTTAGTCCTCACACTATTAATTACCTATAGTTTTACAAAGAAAAAAAGAACAGATATGCATGGCCTAGGATGACTGTTTTAGCGGAAACATTCAAGAAGTGCGAGGACAACAACTCCCACATCGTGCTTTGTTGCACAAAATGGCGTCGCTGCACATTGCCTATTGTAACGGGCTGATTTATGGGAAGTATTGGTGTTCAATTGCCCTAGTTCATTATGACGTCACATCAAAACATTCTCTATTGTTTTAACGCTAAGGATTATGGTCGCCAGAAGGGATCAGAGTGACTGCATTTCAAATAAAATGTACATGAGCAATCATTTATACATGATATATATCAAAACACGATTCACTGAAGTTCTACTTTAGTCGACAATATAAATGGGTCCAACTTTCCGCTGTTTTTGAGCATCGTTTTCCGATGTAAACATACTGTGACGTCATAATGAAATAGGGCAATTGCTAGTTGTGACGCGACTACTAAGGGGTGTTAACATATTTCAAGGGTTTTATGACCTCACTTAAGTGTTCAATTACATGTGCTAATTGCTAGTTGTTTCGCGGATTTATAGCATGCAGTGTATTATGTCATCCAAGCCCTTCTATACCCCTCCCAAAAAGTCCAGACAGATGTATTTTGATCTTTGCTCTTTTTATTA